GGGTGTGGTTGGATTTGTGTAGGCCACAAAAAGTTCTAAACAGGCAGCACGCGCGTGTGTTGTGCCCGCAGCTACTCATGCCGGGACAGAGCAGGTAAGCAAAGCTGCTCAGCCCACGCTCAGCGCAGCTACTTGGATATTAAACAGATTTGGGCTGCGGCTACACTCAGGCATTATCGATGCAAGCATTATGGAAATTTAAAATGTGTTGATTACAGTTGCCGTGTCTCCATAGTCAGCTCAGTTCACCTGGGCCAAGCTCGTCTTGGCGACAATGCTCGTTATTGAATTGCTTGCGGCTCCGGTTACGTATTTTGCGGATTATGAGGTCAGGCGGTTTTAGCCAGCTAATGAAAAGTAATCTTGAAGGCAACACGCACAAATCTATAATCAAGCACACGCACACGCACAGACATTTGAAATGCCACTCAGTGTGATCTGTGGCCTGTGGTTTAACACCAGTGTTAAGTGGGTCAAGTTGTGCCTGTTCCGGCCCTGGCCTTCTCCTCGTTGCTGTGGCCAAAATGGCCACGGCTATGAGGTTAAGCTGTGGGCCTGAGCGTCTGTTTCATAGACTTCTTCGCAGGCATCAAATATGCAATAAACAAATGATTTAAGGCCTCTCGCCTTGCCTTCCAAATGCATGTGTGCGGTTAATGGAGCTGCTCTCGCCTCAAGTCCAATCAATTAACTTGATTTCACTTGCCCAACAAGAAATGCGTTTTCCCACCTGCTGGCTTTGCTCACTGAAAAATGGGTTTCAACAGTTTGTGTGTTGCTCTTGGTCAGAGTCGAAAGTTCTAGTGAAGGTCTACTATGCTTGGAAGACGGGCTCGAAGAGATACAGATCTAAAAGTGTATCCAGTTGCCTGTTTACAGCGTATCTTGCTGTCGGGAACTCTTCGCTCTTTGGCCGGCAATCAGTTGTATTGTTCGCACGCAATAAGCTGCATGCAAAAACGGTCGAGCGATGCAGCTGATGGCTGCAGTCAAGAAAAGTTTTGCATTCTGCAAATTCGCTTAGCGCGCGACTCAATTTCAGCGGAAACGGAAGCGGAAATGGAAGCGCTTATGTGCAAGCGCCTGCAGAAGTCGCTCATGTTTATTCAGCAAATGCAGCGACTGTCTGGCATATCACACCTACAGCACACGCACGCGGCAATTGGCTGCAAGATTTGCGGCTGGAGCGAGTTTTTAGTATATTGTTAACAAGTAAAATGAAAACGTAAATGTTTGAAAATTAGATTTGGCCCGAGACGCTTTTGTTTAGAGCTGTTCCGAGTTGGCCTGGCCAGCAGCACATACACATGTACATCTGTCTGTGTGTGAGTGTGTGTGCGTGCATTAGTTGCTGTGTGTGCACTGAGGTGTTGCCTAGTTTGTGGCTTGTTAGTTAGTTAAAAGTTTTTGCGTGCAATTAAAATGCTGCGCCAAAAGTTTGCTTCAACATTGTTCTTAATTTTTTCTTGGTTTTTGTTTTTTTTTTCTCTTCTTTTTTAGTTTTTATTCACTTTTTTTACAGTTTGCCAAAGCTAAATACAAATGAACAGAATTGTCTCCATCTGCTGCGCCTTTTTATATACACGTGTGTGTGTGTGTGTTTCTTCAAACTGTCTGTTAGTTGAAGTCGTAGTCGTAGTCGTAGTCGTAGTCGTAGTCGCAGTCGAAAAGTGTGCAAGTCCTCTGGCAATTGCCTGATTGTTTCCTTAGCCGCAGCAGCCTCGCATAGCAAGAAAGTTCGTTATCAGTGACATTTTGGCGAACAAATAGCAAACAGCTCGCAGTTTGCTGCTTTCAATGCTCAGCCGACAGCTCTCAGTTGCCTCTTTGCCATGGCAGCTCGATTGCATATGCCATGCCAAGCCAAGTCGGGTCGCAAAGAGCTTCAAACTGCGACCAAAACTCTTTGCCTTTTGAGTTTATTGCGCGCAAGCGGATTAGGAATGGTTAATTAAGTGGCCATCGAGCAGCTGCCAGGTGCAGCTCTCCATACTATGTATATAAAAACGCTTTTTGTATTTCCACATTTATATGCCTTTGATTTATACTTGAAAAGAACTAATGTTCCTGGTATTGAAAGCCAACTTCTAATTGCGGGAGACTGCATTGTGGAATTTAAAGTGCCAAGACATGGCTATAGACTGCGCTCAAGCAGTTCAGCATGGATCGCTTTAGCTCACTCATATAAGTGCAGCACAGCTTCAAAATCTGTTTACTCGAGCCGCTCTGAGTATTCTCCACCAATGCTAAGATACACAGAGACAGTTCAAGATATCTTCTACAACAAAGGTCCTCATGAGACTGAGCTCAACATAGATCGCAGTTCTCATTGATCAAGTACTTCAAGCTGCTCTGAGCATTCCTCTACCTGGATCGCTGCATATTTGGTTTTGATAGCTTTAGCTCTTGATAGGCAATGGCTGCCTGCAAATGAATTTAGCAATGAATTTTAAAGTTTTTAAGATCAAGCCGAGCTCTGAGTTGCCTCAGCTCAGTGGGCAGATGAAAGTAATATGAGCTCATTGCTTTACCAACAGAATTCATTACTTTCTGCTTTGGCTTTGAGAACGCTCAAAGAACTTTATTAAAATTAAATATGTTTTCCTTTCATCTGTGTCTGGCTTATATATATTTAGTTAAAGCAGGAAATTGCAGAAAATCGTTTTTGTCATTCATAAATAGTTGAGCATAAATTCCTGTCAGTTTTCTTTGTACAGCACACACACACGTAGAAACACACCCAGATGGTAAGAGACATATAGAAAGTGGAAGATGGTTGCACACAAAACTAATTGCCTCAATAGACGTAAACAAAAAAAGGCGCTGCATACTTTGCGGCGCTGCAGATGCCAACTGACTGGAAGCTGGAAGTTCTGCATGCCAAATCAAAATCATCATCAGCGGCATCATTATTATCGTCATCATCGTCATTCAGCCCACAGCCGCTGGTAAAAAATCTTAACAAAATAAGCTGAAGAGTTGCGAAGCGCATTAAATCATTTCCGCACTAAAGAGCTCAGCAGCAGCAGCAGCAGCGGCGGCAGCAGCAGCAGCAGCAGCGGCGGCAGCAGGAGTTCCAGGAGTTGCTGGGTGGCGGGGGCGTTTCTTCTTGTGGCAAGTTGCGAGTGCGACTGCAGCTTACCACTATTTATGTGCTGTGTTGCCGCTGCCGCTGCTGCTGCTGCTGCTTTTTGTTGCAAGCCCAAAAAATGAATGTGGAATGAATGATAAGTGTGTCTCTTTTTCTTTTGCCAGCAAAAGCATAAAAATGATTTGCCCCAAAAGTACATAAGTGCGCATCTATGTGTGTATATGCATAAATATATACACACACCCACGCATGCATTGGCGCATTCATGTGTGTGCATGTGTAACATATTCAGGCAATTACTGCCATTCAGCGCATTTCAATTCAACTTCGAAACTGCCGCCATATCGCATAGTTGTATATATATAAATAAACATATACACCTATCTGTATATATATATATATATATATATATATATATATGCAGTCCGCTCGCTGCTGATTCTACTTTTTCTTCGTCTTTTACTGTGGCAAAGTAGAAAAAAAGCTTTTAAACTTCACTCAAGATTTTTGCTGTTCACGCTCGGTTCGCAAATTTTTTGACTGTTGCCGCTTACTTAGTTCTTCAGCGTGCTTAGCACAGTGGTCAAAATAGAGACTTTTTCAAAGATTCAATTAGAATCCAAAAAGTTAAAAACTACAAAGAGAGAGAGAGAGATTCCCATCCGAACAGCCTGAAAGCGCGTCTAGGTACTGCAGCCCAAAGATCTGCTAGCTCCGCTTTAGAGCTAGCTGAATGCTCAAACTCCACCATTCTCAAGACCCATATCATATATCACATATCTCTTCCAATATCTCCATTGTATAGCCCACAGCCTTAAGTAAATTAATTAATTTCTGTCTAGACTAAGTAACCTCTCAACAAATATTGCATCCATTAAAAAAAGTAAAATAAAATAAAATTAAAAATTAAAAAAATATTTAATACTTATTTAAGCTATGACAGACTTGATATTAATGTAGCTGCAATAGAATACTACATTAATATCAAGTCTCCCATAGCTTAAATAAGTATTAAATATTTTTAATAAATAACTAAATATTAAATATTTTAAATAAATTATTAATATTTTGATTGGCGTATGTGGTCACTTTAAATTATAAATTTGACCGGCTGAACATGAAATATTAATAGTAATTTGGACGACAAATTTCAATTTCAAACTAAAAATAACAAAATAATAATTCTAAAAGTTTTTTTTAAAAATATTAGAATTTTTTTCTCATATCAGTACGATTATGATTAGCGTACACAGCTCAAATGAATGGCTAGCCAGATTAAGATCTCAATTTAAATATACATTTTTGCATCATATTTGTTAGCAATAATTTAGCTATTTGGCCCACTCTTGAATGCCATTTTTGGCTGTTGTGTCTTTATCTACAACTGCCGCTTCATATTCTATGGCAACTGCATCTGCATCTGCTTCTTGTTGGGACTTTACTTTGTTGTATGTGCTCTATGCTGTGTTGTGTGTGTGTGAGCTTTGCGATGTGCCGTTTTTATAAGTCTGCCAAAATGTAGTTCATATATTTTGGCGAAAATTCGTTTTGCAGTTGACATAACTTTGTCAGCCCCAATTTATCAACAACAATTAGTAGAGCAGAGGCTGACTGAGTGACTGACTGACGTCTGGCAAGAGCTGGGTTTTTGGGGCGTGGTAAGTATGTGACAAGTATTTTCCACAACGATGCACAAAACTTTGCCCGTATATGCGGCAAAACAGCGACTTGACGTTGCAACGTGTTGCCCTGCCGCGCTGATGAAGACATTGCAGCATTAGCAACATAGTTGCTGCCTTTGCAAGATATTGCCAAAAATAATAATTTATATGATTACGTAAAAAGTGCCAGCTGCGCTGCTCATCAAATGGCCCCAACTATATAGACTCAATGTGATTGAGATAGTTACCTGTACTCGTGCGACAGGAAGAATGTGCCGCGAATGTTGCAGCCATTGGGATTCTTGCGTTTGCCATTGAATATTTTCTGATAATGATCGTAATTGTTCAAGTTGACGGCACCATCAAAAGTTAGCATTATAATTTGCGGGATCTGAAAGTGGAGAGAGTAGGTAGAGTTAATGGAAATATGCGTGTATATAAACTATATAAACTACAGTTAAGTATGACAGCAAAATGAAAGCGCAAAAAGGTCTCAGTTACTGGATGCCTGCTGCTGTCATCTGTGTGACTGCATGTGTGTGGGCGTGGCTTATGCAAGCATGCGGTCCAATTAGAGAAGCGCTAACCTCAAAACCAGCCGCGCATGTATTGGCATGGACTGCCTCAGCAGCAGCAACAGCAGAGGTAACTACTCTAATTGAAGGTTTTGCATTTTGCGTTTGTTTTTCCTGTCTACGTTGCGCCTGGCTGACTTTTGACTTGGCGTCTGCTGCTGCTGCTGCTGCTTGTTGGCTTATGCGGCGTATGCGCAATGCTAACGATTTGTAACTTCGGCATTTAACATAATTAGTGGGCAATCGGTTAACCAGATTTCCAGCTACACGATCTTTAGCTGCTATACGAAAACCAAATTAATTTCAAATCACTCGCAGCGACTATCAATAAAGTAACGTCTGCAGCAGCAGCAGCAGCAGCAGCAGCAACAGCAATAAGTTTAACGAGTGCTAAAGCAGAGCAATTCCATTACAAAAATTGCCACCCCACAGCCGTATTGAAATCCCGATGGGCGACGGCTCTGTTTGTCGTCGTCGCCCGAAAGAAGCTTGCAACACTTTAAGTGCAATTCCATAATCAAAGACCAATGCAAGTGCTAACCCAAAAGAAATGACGCGCCATAAAAGCAGGCAGCAGACACAGAACTTGTTGCCCCAGAACACAACGCATCTCAAATACACTGCCATGGAGCTGTGCCACTATATCGAGCAGAGCGTTTGCACAATACTAGTAGCAATGGCTAGCTCTAACTCTTGGTCCAGACAGACACAGCACAAAGCCAATGTACCCCTTTAGATAAGCAAAAATGGCGAGGGAGTTGCAGAACATTTTTAAAAATTTGATTGGTTTCTTTCAAAGATGTCCTAGTTAAGAGCTGCGCTAAGATCTGGCTAGATGCGGTCGCATCTGCCAGAGTTTTCGCCAACTGCACGTCAAAGCCAATGCGCCCCGTGGCGGGCAAATAATGAAATGAAAATCGAATGCGATCAGCATAAAGCAGCATGTGAATGGCAGTGGCTGCTGACGAGGTAGCAGCCGAAATGCATTTCGCCTGAGCTGCACATAAAGAGGTGTGGCACGGGCAGCGGCACTTAACGCTCATTGTTGAACACATAAAAAGGATTATTGTACAAATTCAATATTAATGTGGGGTCCAACGACGACTAACCAAGCCTTAACCTCAGCCAACGGGTGCAACACTCGGCAATTGACCCCAGCTTTATCTAGCCCTACAGCTGCCAGCATATTTGAAGCTGTCCCTATTCCAGCTCCAGTTCCAGCCACACCTACCTTCGCCTCCGCCTCCGCCTCCGCCTGCGTCTGCAGCTGAGCTGGCAAAATTATGCAGAGGCGTGAAACACTCGTAAGCATCGAACGGTGGTCAGCTTAAGTGCGGCAAGGATAACTGATGATTATGAGGATAACGACGATGATGACGATGATGATGGTGATGGTGATGGTGATGACGATGTTGGCAACTGCTGCCATTGGAATTGAAATTTGCTCTTTGATTTGACAGAGTTCGCTTTCGTTGAGCTGCGTAGGGTCCTTTTATTGCCTGTGCCCTGGCTCCTGCGTTCGTCCGCTTATTGAAAGGCATATTTCAAAAGCCGTTTCCGCTAAAATGAGTGCAAATCAACTGCAGTTTGCAGCATCTCTGCTCCCACTCTCCCGCTCCCGCTCCCTCTCGCCCTTACTCTCTTCTCATTGAATTATAAAGTAAAAATATTATTGCAAATATAATGAATGTACGACAAAAAAAGAGTAGGAGATGATAGCACAAGCAGCGAATAAGAAAATGGGAAAAAAACTATTTTTAAGTTTGTCTCTGCCATTGTTGGCTGCAGCTTGAAAATATTGACGTGATTGTGGCAGTGAAAGAAATTGATATATAAATAGAGCTGCAGCTCATAATTTGGTTGCTGACAAAGAGCAAAACCAGCTGCCAGCCTAGAGGCTTAGCTTTTTTTGGTCGTATACGTAATTTGTCTTTAAGCATTTTGTTTTGTGCTTTTGCACAAGTGGAATTCTGTCCTGAAAGGAGTCGCTTTTTAAATAGCACATACATTCATTTGATGCAGACGTCTGCTGTCGCCCAGCTCGCACTGCCACTCGATGTGTACGTTGATAATTTCTGCTTAATGCGACTCAAGTTTGCACTTCAGTCTTTGAGCAAATATGGCAGACAGACGGCAGTTGACAAGCACCTTTGCCTGAGAGACAGAAGTTTGCCAGCCGAGCTCGTTGAGCGCTACCAAATGGATGATAGATGGGTTTTTCATGCTGTTCAAGTGCCTCACAGACCGAGAGAGTGAGACAGAGGGATAGAGAGACGAGGAGAGAGGGAGACATTCTTCGAGAAGCTGTGGATGAGAGAGAAACTGGGCTTGGGCTGCGAATTTGCATAGCTTAGTTGCTCAATCGCGGCGACAATTGAACGGCTCATTGATTGAGTGATTGCAGCTGCGCATAAATGCAGCACCCTTAAACAGCAGCAACCAAGCCCTGCACCCCACGCCGCCTTCGACACCCCCTTTAAAAGAAGCTCTCGGCAAAGTTTTTGTTGACACTGTGTGCCATCTTTTCAGTTTTCTTTTTCATTTACTTTGCCAGCTCAAATCAAATTGGATTCGCATTCAAATTGAGCAAAGCGTTTTATTTAACGCAACGTCTGCCTGCTCCTTCAAACTAATGCTGGGATAGGCTTGGCAGCTTCTTGGCGTTTTTATGCCCTCTAAATGGCGAATGCCTCCAATGGGGTTGCACCGGTGTGTCTCTATGCAATGGCAGCTACAGGAAACGTTGATTATTTAATCATTTATTATTTATATAAAAATAAAAGCGAACATCTTATCAAGACTTGAACTGAACTCGAGATAGTCAAACGGCGGAGCTTCGCCAAGTCGGGTCATAGCACTTAAAGCATTTGCCATGGCGTTTTCCTTTGCGGAAATTGAACGCGCTGTGAAATGGAGCGCAACGCGTTCAGTGCTAAGCGCTGGGCGAAAATGGTGTTGAAAGCGTCGCCAATGCGGCGTATGTGTAATATCTAACATAGCTCAAACGATTTGCAAAAGATATAGGCTAAATGTGTGCACAAATTAACCGCCTGTTTGCGGTTAATTGAGATGGTATTAATTATAATTATGTGCACACACACACACACACGCGCGCCCGCAATGGGCACAAATAGGCTGTCAGAAATTGAAATCGTTTTGTTGGGCGGCTGTGGAAACACATGTAAGCGCTAATAACACTTAAATAAGCATCCGGATCACTCGCACAACCCCTTAAACAAAGGACAACATGGCGCGTTATGTAGAGTTGGGTAGTTATAGCGACAGTCACCCACACACACACACACACACGCACACGCACACGTACACCCACAGACACATTTCAATTTCGAAATTAAGTGGCTCACTTGCGATTTGTTTGTGTTTGCGTTTGTGTTTGTGTATTTGTATATTTGCGTTGTGCGTTCAGCGTTCAGCGTTCTACGTTCTGCGTTTTGCGTTTTGCATTTATGTTGAAAATCGGCCGACTATGTCGACGTCGCTGCCAGCGCTGGCATCGCTGTCGCCACATAAACTTCCGCTGCTCTCTGCTAGTATTTGACTTATGCTACACTATGCATGGCTCGACAGCACAGCCTTTGTCAAGCAGTTAGCAACAGAGCTGGCAGCGTCTGCTCAGACACTGCTGATTGCTAAATAGTTAGGCAGTCTAAGTTAGCTCTGCTAACTGCGAGGCTGCAGATATGTAAAAGACATTTGAATAATGTGATATTTTATATGCACTTGCGTGGCTCTGGCTTCAGCGGAGTAAGTTGAAAATATTGTTCTACCTCAACTCGTTTTGGCTATTACACCTATGTGGTCCACATGTTGCCTTCATTTGCAAATGGAAGTGGGTCTTGAAAACTTGATACTACAGTAGTCCAACATATATAGCCGAGCTATAGAGTATTTGTTTCTATGCTCAGTTTTTGTAAATGAGCATATTTATGTGCGTGGTTTTGTTGTTTTCTGGCATTGCTTTTATCGTGTATGCGAAACCACAACTAATGTGCACTTCAAACTGTCTGTCAATTGGTAGCCCACACGCACACACACAGACACACACACATATTGGGACACTAAATCAAATACGCACAGACACAGTCACACAAAGGAGCTGGCATTATTTTTATTCATGTTGTCTAAAACTGATTATGAATATGCGAAATGGACTTTAAACAGCGCAATGCCATCAAAAGTGAATTATGCCATTAGTAAATCTATTATTTATATATATATATATAAATAAATATATATATATATATATATATATATATATATATATATATATATATATATATAGATATGTAGATATGTAGATACTATCTCAAGTTACCATGCTATCCATTTGGTAATCAAATAAACTTCAGTTGTCTCTTATTCTTTTGTGTGCTCTCGCTATTAATCTTTGATTTATGCACACAAGAATCTTTTTATTTAGCCTCGTATCAATCAGTTTATTTAGATACCATTAGGCAAATGCACAGTGAAGTGCTACAGCCCAGGACTTCCATGTGCACGATATACTGAAACTATCGTTTAAAATGAATAAATACATACATAAAAATATGTTTTTGCCCTTTGAAAATGGCAAGTCAGGGTATATTGGCTAAAATAAAATGTATGTAACAAGCAAAAGAAGGCGTGGCCGTATCAGCTGAACTCAGGTGGAGCTGAGTTGGACTCCGTAAACTATAAAAGGTAGAGACTTGTAAGCTCGAGTATGCCATGCATAGTGTGAGTATAATTTTTCTTTTCGATAACTCATCCTTTTTTAAGGTTATCGATTATAATCGATAAATATAATAACAAAGAATGATTTGAATACAAATTATAGTGACTATTAAGCGAGAATATGCCATGCACATTAAAATCTTATCAATTCTTATCGGTCAATTTTATTGTTATCGATTAAAATCGATAAGTATTAAAACAAAGAATGATTTTAATACTAATTATGGTGACTTTTAAGCTAGAATATGCCATGCGCAATAGGATCTTACCAATTCTGATGGATCAATTTTTTCTGTTATCGATTAAAATCGATAAATATAAAAACAAACAATGATTGGAATACAAAAGCTAAGGAGTTGAAAGCTGGAGTATGCCATGTAAATTACGAGTTTGTCATCCCTTTCTGATAGTTAACCCTATTTTCCCATTATCGATTAAAATCGATAAATATGAAAACAAAGAATGATTGGAATCTTCGCCGGGTATGCAGGGCATCTGCCAGTCGAGCAGCCTCGAGTCAAGCTCTCCCATTTGTTTCATTCTCTTTCTCCACACTTTATCGACTGCTGCGTATATTAAGCGATTTATGTACACATAACGTATACGCCCCTTTGGCCGTGCAGTGCAAAAAACTTTAATTTCATGTAGTTTTATGAGCTGAGTTCGGTTTATTTGATGTTTTTTTCAGTTTTATTTTTATTTTTATTTTTTGTGTGCTTGGAAACGTAAAGCACATAACTCTTGGGCAAATAAACAAACCGAAGTTATTAAACAGGATATTCGAATCAGGAGGAACAGCAGCAACGAGAATAGCAACAACTGAGCGAGACTGTGACAACAATGAGCAACGAATGGGCCAACAACAACAACTGGCAAAGACAGCAGAACAATTTCCTTATGCAAAGCAGCGATAACAGCAGCCGAATGCAAATACACAGATTTATGGCCAAGCCGAAGCCAAACTTAACAACATTCAGATACATACGTATAAGCCAACCCCCACTGCTACTGCCACCAATACGACTACTACTACTACTACACCTGCCATCCGGGCTTGCTGCCGTACTGCTGTACTGCTGTGTGCCGTAAAAATAAAAGCTGTCAATGCACTTGAAATTTATCACCTTGCAAATTAACACTTAAGGGTAGCAAAACAGAAAGAATGAAAGCATGTATATATATTATGGAAGGCTGAGCTAAGTGCTGTCCAATAACCTTCAATGAAATGTGGGTGTTGGCTGGGCGGTACACCTACCTTTTCGGCCTCGAGGTCGCCGGGTATTTGGGTGCCATCCTTGGAGCAGAAACAGTAGGGCAGCTGGCAGGCCTCTGTGTCGCAACGCTGAGCGGTGTCTGCGGGCGCATCCGTTGCTGGCGCTGGTGCTGCAATAAGAACAAGAAATCGAAACTGATTACATAAGAAGAGCGAGAGAGAGAGGGGAGATCTGGAGGCCTGTTGCGCAAATTACTTCGGAAATTATTTAAAGTCTAGTTGCTTATGCGAGCACAATTGCGCAGCTGACAATCGATGGACCACGCCCAGACTTCGGCTACCTGGCAAGACAATCACCGAGAGCAGCATGTCGAAAGTTAAAAGTCAACAAAATAACACAATGCAATACAAATATCAATAAGGCAGCAGCATGCCAGCCAAACAACGTACAAAATGTGCAAGAAACAAGTTAAAAGAAAGTTAACAACGAGCACAAGGGGGCAAGGGGCCTGACCCTGCGACTGGGCGCGTGCGAGTGCGAGCGAGCAGGCAATACAAATAGCCAACGGTTAAATCCTGGCCAGCCCCAAATACATCCAACTGCCAACCAAAATACAAAAAAAAAACCGTTAGAGCCAGCTTTTGGCACAGTTATTTGCATATGTGGGAGTTGGGCGCGGCAGTTTTGTGGTTCTATATGTATGTGTGTGTGGGTGGATGTGTTTGGCTAGAAGTCAATAGAATTCAATTGGCATTTCTTTTTTCTCTTTGCTGTTGCCGCCGCTGCTGCTGATGCTACTGCTGCTGCTGCTGCTGTTCCTGTTATTGTATTGTGATCGAGTAAACAAATACGCTTAAAGTCCACAAAACAAAAGGTTGGCCATGCAGATGTGTTTATAAAACAAAGCCCGGCACGAAGCCAACAGGTAAAACCAGCATTAGTCATGCACTAGGTCATCGATGCCACGCCCTTGCGTGGGAGGCGGGCAGCAACATTTGAAATCCACTTCACACACGCAACCAAATTAAGAGCGCGTCGGTGAGTCCTTGATTCGGCCAGCCTTCAGGATGGAGTGTCATCTCTCTGCAGGCAATCGATATGCCAGTTTGTGTTCTGCATCAGCTCTGTATCATTCGCCATCAATTTTGGCAAATTAAAAATAATTATTTATTGTCTCTTGGGCAGAACTTTGACTGCCTTGCTAGCCTTCAGGCGCTGCTTGCCATCATTTACGCAACGTTCGTCAACTTTGCCATGCCATGGCGTTAAGCTCGATGCGTATGCTGCAGGGTCCATTGACAACATCATCAATCAATTTAAAGTGGACTAATGCCGCTTCGCAATGCCAAATGCAAAACAAACTAATGATGTCAAAAACTTTTTCCACTTCCAGCGTTTTGACGAATTTTTGCACAGCAGCCCCAACCCGAGCGAATCGAGGGCTCGCCCACTCTCTCTCTCTCTCTATGTGTGTGTGAATGTGTGTGTGTGTGTGTGCTAAAGAGGTGGTGTTGGCCAATTTACATTCAGCACAAACGCTGCGCGTATTCGTTAAGTATTCAAGCTTCAGTTGCTAAGCGAAACTCGAGCAACAAACAATTTGATTTAATTACAATAGTTGACTACTCTGCCACGCCCACGCCCACGCTTAAGCTGACAACAAAATAATCACCAGCTGCATAACGATTCGTTCTCGAGTAGATAAAAAGTAAATAAATAAACGAATCAGAATGCGACTTTGTGGCTGGCCGACGATTAGATACACTGCCCGAAAAGCTGGTTGTATCTATGGAGTTCATTGAAGAGACTATTTTGAAGGCAGCTTATTAAATGTATAGTATGTAGTTAGGCGAGCTGGTTAATTATAGTATGTGTACTAAATTATATAGAAAGATGAGAGCAAGAGACGAAAGACTTCTGAGTGAGACTCAGATAAGCTTGGCAATCCATTGGCTATACATTGAACTATCTGTTAGATATATATATTTATATATATGTATTTATATGCTCTAACGGATCTACTCTTTCTGTGCGTCGCACATTTCAAGCCCAGTTTACCATACACTGCATACGGGCATAACAAACATCAACTCTGCAAGCGGAGCAATTGACCAGCGAGCTGGAGCTCATGTTTTTGATTTGACTGTGATTTGGTATTGCTATTTTTTATGGCTTATCTGAACCTGGGATAACAGCAAAACAGAACAAAAATAACAACAACAACAGCCAGAGATTGCAACGAATGCAAAACAAACAGCATCAATGTTAATAGTCACAAAATAATAAACACTGTAATACTAGCATATGCCATAAATATGAATGAGTTTAAATTGAGGCCTGAATATTGATGTGTGTGACTGTGTGTGTGTGTGTGACATGAGCTGCATATATTAAAGTTTAATTCACACACACTTGCAGCTAGAGACACGCTTGAGGCGAGTCCGCTTCCGGTGGCGCCTTGAAGTATGCCATTTGGCTTCGGTGTACCCAAATTGTCGCCTTGTGTGCAGCTGGTGCCACGCCCACAGCACAACGAATCGAATCAGCACAGCAAGTGGAAAATCTATGGAAAACTAATATAAATGCATCGATGCTATCAATGCTAGAAAATATGCATTTTGCGGTCACATCATAAATAACAGCAATGCCAAATGAAATGCTTGGCAATTAATTGGCCCGGACGGCACAGTGGGACAAGGGAATTGCTTGGAGAGAGTGGGCACTCAATTGCACACTGTGCAATCAACATAAATTCACACATATACACACACACACACACAGACAGAGACACAGACACTAACACACATACGCGCACATCGTCTGCTGTCCAACACCTCTCAAAAATAAATGCATACAATTTTATTATTTCAAAAAAGTTATTTGCCAAATTTGCGCACTCGAGCATGTGTGTGTGTGTGTGTGTCTGTGTGTGCCTTGGATACAGTTATTCAATAAAATGTAATAAACACTTTTAGTAACTTTGTCTTATGCATTTCGCACTGGCTGCGACAGCGGCAAAGCAAAGCAAAGCTGAGCGGAGCAGAGCTGAACTGGGCTGGGCTGGGCTGGGCACAGACGTTGCGTATACGTAATGCGGTACAGTTTGGGGCATATTTGTCTAGCTGCTCGTCGTTGTCTTTGTAGCTGCTGGTGATGTTGTCGTTGCTGCCGCCGCCGTTGCCGCTGCTGTTGTGTAAGCAATATTGAAATGCTGTCATTGAGCGTGCTCACTGAATTATGAAATTGAAAACTATTCAGTGCAAAATTGCTTCGAATTTTACCAGCTCGTGTGAGTTTTCTGCACACAACACTATAGCGAATAAATAAATGTATATATATATATATTTATATATATATAATGTATATATGTATATATATATATAAATATATGTGTGTGTTTTTTCAGTCAGTTGCTTGGACGCGCGCTGTCAATCGTTTGGGCCAAGTTGGCGGCCAGTCAGACAGTCAACGAGTCAGTTCTGGGCAAATAGTCCTTTGGCCAGCAGACGGCTGCTGCTGCTGCTGCTGCTTGGCCAAAATAGAATTTGGTAAGCAAATTTTATTGAATTTGAGCCCCCGAAAAGTGGCTTAGATATTTTAATTTGTGTCTGGCAATAACAAAACAGTGTATCAAATCCAAATAAAATGGAATAAAATCGCATTTATATGCACATTGTATTGCACACGTTGTATGCTGCCTTAACCCCAGCAATGCTTCGGCTATGCACACACACACACATGTGTGTGTCTGTCTCTCTCTCATTGTGTGTGTGTAATGAAAAGCAGCCACTTTTTGCTTATTTATTTGGGACATTTGCTGTCACAATTTCAAATTCATTTTGGGTCTTGCAATGCGTCGTAAGCAATTCGTCAGCTGAGACTTTTGACAAGGACGTGGCGGGCGTAGGGAGTGGGAAGTGTGCGGCTAGGGGCTGTGTTGGGCTGTGGTGCTTTTGTGGGGGAGCCATGCTTCAGCTGCTTAGTTTAGAGCTCATAATCCCCGGGTTGGCTTACGTTGCTGCCAGCTGGTTTGCAAATTAAAGTGCTAGACGATTAGAGACAATCAGTCAGATCTTCTATAAGGTTAGCTTCAAAGCATCGCATCGCATCGCATACAATTTACACCGCAATTATAAACTGATTAAATAAAATCATTAGTCTACAGACAGAGCCTTTTAAAGCTGAGTTCTATTGGTTTTCAACTGTGTCGAGTGGAGCGAGGCACATCAGCAGAAAGAAGTCCCATTCAGAGTATTCGATATCCGCTGTTTCGCCTAAGCCTTGTCGGGAGTAAGCCAATGCAGCCAGCTAAGCTAAGTGTATTCTGTAGCAACTTCAGCCAAGCTCTCGTGTTTTGTGTGCTCCTTTGGGCGCTACATTAATTAAAATTCTTTTCAACTATTAACTGTGAAGTTTTTCGGTGTTGAATGCTGTAACAAAGGCAAAGATACATGTTCGCTAAATGGCTAACGAACTGGGCCAAAAACTGTTCCAGCTAAATACCAAAATTGAAGAACAAGAAGAAGAAGCCACTGTGAGTAGCCATATATTATAGTTTAGTATGTTAAAAGAAAGAAAAGAAAAAAAAAACTACAAACGTTATATTAGTATATGCCACGCTTTGTTGCGCGCTCTCTCGCTCTCTCTCCCTCTCTAGCGGTGTGCGTGTGTGTGGCGTCAGCAAAAAGCGCACAGAGCTTTGACCTAATCTCTGCTGCAATATTTTTCCTCGTGCCTTGCTAGACTTTGGCTTAAGCATTGTGGCTTGCAAGGGGTATGGGCCAGGAGCTAACTCTCTGCTCGTGTGTGTGTGTGTTCGTGTGTGTGTATGTGTCATTTATGTTATTACTTTTCTACTCCAACATATATATATATATATATATATATATATATATATACATATATATACATACGCATACACCAGCGCTGACTCGCTGTCGCCGTCACAGTCAGAGCAAAGAGCTATTTATATGAGACAACATTCCAGTTGGTATTACGCAAATCCCAAATGCTTTAGCTGTCGTAGCTTTCTTCCAAGCGGTTTCCTTCCGACAACGACGGCTAACTGCGACGACGTCGACGTCGGCGTCGACGGCAACTGCGTTGCTGACTAGTGCAAAAGTGCGTGCTTGCATTTGAGCGATATCTCATGGTGTGTGTGCGTGTGTGTGTGTGTGAAACAGAGCGAGAAAGAGATAGATAGTCTGAGTAGCATTGTGTGTGGATTAAAATTGTTTACTACATTGGACTAAATTTTTAATTTAATCATTTTTTAAACTTGCTAAAATTTTTCACTTATATTTAATGTTTTTTAATTGTTTAACAAATATTTTGAAATTGAATTAACTTTTTAGAAATGCTTAGATCACAGTCTTGAACGATACTCAGTTTATGAAATATTTCTCCAAGTGCTTTGCATTGACGTTATGCATGATTTTTCACAGTGTTTGTCGTAATGCACATGCATTGTCTTTCGCCTGTGGGTTAGGTAGACGAGCTCACGCACACATACCTTCATAGACTATATATATATATATAAGACTGGTAGCTAAATCTGAGCTGTAAGCTCTTCTGTCTCGCCCACACACCCGCACACTAGCTGCTGTGGCACTTGGTTATTCTTAAACGGTCGCGTTTGTGCTCCATTTGAAGTGCCCTCGATGGCTGGGCGAGGCGAGCCAGGCAAGCCGGGCAAGGCAGTTGGCATTTATCATGCGAACGAACTGTGAGCCAGACTGCAGCGCTCACCTTTAGGCAACTTGGCCAAGTTATTGTGTCGTCGTCGAATGCATTGTCATCGAGCGGCTGGGCTGCGATCTTTTGGTAAATGTTTCATTTTCTGCCATTGGGCCATAAATGAATTATGCGACATTTACTCAAAATTGTTTCCTAATGCACAACACATCCGGTGGTCGAATGCCTTGCATTGCATTCGATTGCTCTTACTCTTGCTATCTCTGTCTCTTTCTATCTGTTTGGTAAGCCTGTCACATTCAGTAGCTTATCCCAAATGGCTTCGTATGCGGCTGCTGCTGCTGCTGCTGCTTGGTATTTCTAATAGAATGCCCAATTCTATTTTGAGCTTCTAATAAATTTGCTGCTGCTCTGCAGTTTTAGCCATGTAATTTTTTTTATTCTCTCTTTTTTACTTTTATTTATTTTTTTTTTTTGGGCTCCGAGTGCTTTGTGTCTGGCCTGTGAGTCGAAGTTCGGCTTTTATTTAAGTTAACAACTTTGGTTTTGCAAACTTAAAATCGTTTAACAAACCGCTTGGCATTTGCCACAAAGCCCGCATGCTCTCTCGCTCGCACAAGCCGCATGCGGCCATCTCTGTCTGGCCTGCATGCACATGTGCCCGAGTGCACTTACAACTTTCTGGGCTGCCTGATTTATGGCGCACTTTCAATTGTTTCCCTAGCTAAAAACATTCCCATGGCTATTTGTAGACAACATCAAGACTGCCAAACATTACATTGACACTGTAAGCTGTCCCTCATCTGTCTGTCCATCAGTCTGTCTGTCCGTCATCTTGCCCTCCGGCGAGTCTTATCTGTGTGCCTTTATTAATCGCCGTCTGGGCAGCCGAGACATAACTTCATCACTTACTTGTTGGCAGCGGTCCGCACTTGGCTTCGTCCTTAAACGTGCAGAACTTTTGCAGATCGTCGAAGTAGAGGCCAGAGGGACAGCGATTCAAATAGGCGAAGCCATCGACGCACTGCCATAAAACGAGTCAAGTTCAAGATGCGAGTTAGACTTTTGCTCTGGCCAATTGGCCAACTCAGTTAGTTTACCTGATAGAAGCGGCGACAGGTCGCTGGATCCGCATAGTTGCCATTGGCAATGTGGGAGGGGCACGTGAATTCCTCCTTCTCCTTGTTTTGAGCTGCAAACATGAATTAAGTATATTCTTTGTTATTGACTTGACTTGTACGTAGCCTAAACTTAAACTTTTTCAACTTAAAGCTTCAGTTACCTTTTAACCGATTAAAGAAAAACTTTTAATTGAATTTGGTCAGAAATATTTTCTTTATTTTGCGATTTATGTGCTTTTGCCCAAAACTCGACTCAGGCTATTCATGCTGAATACCTCAACAATAACAAATTTATATTAAATAAATAAAATTTAAGTATTATTCTAATTTACTGCAGGGCTCTATCTGCAAGCTGCCTGTGGTTACATATTTGCCTGAATTGCAAAACTTCTTAAAATAAATTGATTGGTCTATGGAATAAAAAGAACTATCTGTGGTTAGGTTTGTGTTTGGAATTAGTTAGAGCTTAGTTAACCAAAGTATTATCAGGACATATAACTTGCTGAGTCACACATATTAAAAAAAAGGTCTATCTATAGAGGAGGACAGTGAAGATAGTGTGAGTTACTAGATTTTTGCTGACCTGGTCGATGCTACGAAGACTTGCTTATAAACTAGGAATATTTTTCTGACTAATAAATATATATTTTTCTTTAAATAATTCATCTCTATTTCTATGGTCTCCCAAGGCTACACGATTGGATTTATCATAACCCTATAGACTATGCAATGTTTGTTTTTCTTGGAGTTGCACAAGTTTAAATTAAGTTAAAATAAAGAAAAACCTTTTTAATATCAATCAAGCACACTTTTTTGGATAGAAAATATAATGAAATTAATACTGAATTTTATAGAGCAAGTGCTGCTTGGTCATGGATGAGTCTTTTCGTCAATCATAGACTAGCGATGTCACGCATCAGTTGGACAAGCAGAAGACTTCTCCGCAGAGCTAACATCGAGCATTGCAGAGCTAAATGAACTATTGTTGCCGCTCCAATGAACCAGTTCAGTTCAGTTCAGTTCGGTTGCTGTGTCGCCTATGGCAGTTGGCTAATTGGCTACACGGTCTTGATGGCCTTAAAGAGCTAGCTGCATTTAAATGAGAGCCTATTAATTGTCAAATGCTAACGAGAATGGAAATGGCAAACAGTCTGAAACAACATTAAATGATAATCGTTTATTTTATAATTATGTGCGCTGTGTTTGGCCTTTTAACTTTTTGTTTGTTTTGTAATTATTTTCAATTCTTTTTTGCTTGTGAAAATTGGAATCAATGCTTCAAAGGCCGTTTGACGTTGTGACATTTAAAAATAATCAAAACCACAAAAGAGACAGAGACAGAGGGCGCGGGAGATATAGGAAAATATTTAAATAATGTTAAAAAACGAAGTGAAACAATAGCAAAAAGCGTTTTAAATAAATAAATATGCGATACATAAATTATAATTAAATGGCGGCATTCATTTGATTAACTTAAACTGCATGGAATTAAACAACGGCCGCAGCCTGCAGCGCCCACCCGAACAGCTAAAGGGACGTGGAATGGTCGAGTGTTGCATGTAATGAATATAAATTTGCTAACAGCATTAGATTAATGCAATGCGCCTAAACAGCAGCAGCAGCGGCAGCAACAACAAAAGCGATAGAGAGACAGAGTGGAAGAGAGATAGACAGAGAGAGCGAGACAGATAGAGAGTGCGTCCTGTCTCGGCGATTATTAATAAAGCCCATCTATTTAGGACTTATACTAATTAAATGCGCGCGATATTTTTGAGCTTTGTTGCGTGTACGCCGCCTGCGTGCGATTATAATTATAATTGGCATCATTATGGCTTTTATTGCAAGTGCATTGTCCGCTGAGCGCGATATTCGATTAATGGCATTGGCTGCCGTGGCGATTGCCAATTATTTGTTAGCCACGCGCGCTGCGTTTATGCAATTGACGCGCGTAATCCTGAAGCCCTGCGCCGGCAAGTAGGCAAAGTTTGTGGCACGTTGAGAGATTAGCGTTCTCTATGTGCGATTAGCCTTTTGTGTCAATTATAAATTAGACTCTTTCGATGCGTTAATGAGCGAGTGAGCGTGCGGCGTGTGGTCAGCTTGACTCGAAGCGTGAGAGGGTTGCCTGACGAAGGCGTCTGTTGCCTTAGCCGCTTGACGTTTGCGTTTATTATGAATTCATTTCGCACATATTTCACAGTTCTCTGTTTGCCAGGCATAAAACATTTGTTGTTTCTCTTTATTTGCATGCAACAAAATGCTGCAGCCGCAACAGCCTCGCGCTCCAGCGCCCATTCGAATGCATTCGTTATTGATTTTGTATGAATTTCGTTATAAGTGCAAACAAAACATAAAAGCGAAAAAAAAAACAACCACGCTGCATATATTATTTAAATAAATAAAAACATATATATGCCAGCGTTAAAGGGCATCTTCAATTTTCCAGCTTTCGCATGCCAGCCGTATGTGAACAAAGGCAAAAAACCCAGCTAAATTATTACAAAATCAACCAAAAAAAAAAATAAAAATTTGCCAACAAATAGAGTCAATTTTAATGCATTATTATTTTTATTATTAAATAACAAGAATGTGGCCGACGGATGCTACCAACTGCATGATACTCATTCAAGGCCTGAGCGCGGTTAGCTTCAAATCTTTGAAAGATATTCCATTTGCCACGGCCTCGATTGAGAAGCTCAACATTAAATTAGTTGCTGAATGTTGAGTGAAACTGGCACGCCCCAATGGGCGTGAACACCTTAATTTTGGCTAAGGCTTAGATGGAATGTAGCATGGACTTAAGCTGCAAAGTTGTGGAAATTACAGTGTATTTTCTATAGGTGCATCGATAGAGGAAGTCAACAGTAATTTAATAATCAAATTTTAAAGCTTTTGGGTCATCCTTGCCTTAACCTTTAGAAGATGTAGATTTTTGAGAGGTGCCACGCCTCCAACAGAATTGGATACATCAACCATATATTCTTGGAAGCCGGTTGTACTCACGAGCATCTATTCGAAGCCTTATGTTAAGTCTCTAGCCTCAATAGAGGCGAAATGGTTTGCATTCACAGGGGCAGAAGGATGGACAAACGCAGGGACAGCAAGATGCACATTGCACTTTCCCTTCATGAATGAGTATAAAAATCAAGTGCCAGCTATTCGAATGTTGCTGACTGCATAATGCTCTGTTCATAGATCGACAGAAGGTCGCTTTGGCAGATATTGATTGAGCTGCTTTGTATTCATAGTTCCCTAACGAAGACGAGAAATAAATATGCTCAATACGCGCTTGGTGAGCAGAGCATGGAAACCTGACCAGAAGAAGGAAGCATATTTCCATATAATTATTATAGCTAATTAATATTTATTAACCATTTCATGGGCGTCGTTGTCGCCAGCGGCAAGGAGCTCCACTCGAATGCATAATGAAAGATATAAATAAAATGTTTTATATTTGTATATTTTTAAGCTATTCAAAATACTCCAAATTTATGCAAAAATAAAAAAAAGACAAACAAAAAATCGAGTTTTTTTTAGGACTGCTTAAAACTGATTTGTTTGAGTTTTTAAATATTAATATTTCATTTAAATTTAAATACTTCATGGATTTATCATTAGATCAAGATAGTACAATTCGCCTAACTTGGAGATACCCTTTGTGAAATCTGCCTTTTCTCCTAGCGAAAGAAGCTTTGCAGCTGTCACTGGCCTTGTGTATTGGCCATGCTACATGCGGCTGTGGTTGCTGCTGCAGCACAAAAAAAAAAGAAACGAAAAATATTGTAAATTTATTAAAAAAGGCATAAGGCCAATTACGCTGGCCTTTTTTTTTGTACCTTTAATTAAGAAATTGCCAATGCGAAAAATAATAATTAAAAATAAGCCCGCGCCAGAAGCGTCCAAAGGATCGTGGCTCACTGTAGCGCTGACTCGGCGCTCACGCCGCCTTTTACTTATTAGTTGAGCAGAATTATGAAGAAAAACATAAATTGTCTAGACGAGCGGCAGTCGACGGCCAAATACCCTGTAGACAGACAGACGATGGAGTTGAAGAGGAAATAGGCATTTCAAATAAAAAAAAATATGTTTAATTGGCATTTATAGAGATAGGGCACTCTTTAAATATGCGTACATGCATATATAATTACAGGGTATTCTCTGTTTGTTTGCTATGTTAACTTAAACAGCTGCCAAAAAAAGCGCTAAAAACCTGGCGAACAGTTGAAAAATGGGCAAACTTTATTTTATGCACGCCTCGATAATGGTATTCCACTTTAACTTGTGCACATACAGACGCGCACAACTGTGTGTGTGCGCTTGTTTAAACATATAGCTACACACACACTCATGTGTATATGTAGGCATGTGCGCGCTGTTTTATTGTTGTTGTTATAGTGCGGCGCCTGTTGATGTTGATTTTTCGCTGATGCACATAATTTATTTAACATTTTGCGGGAATTTAAAGTCAGCCGATGCAGGTCCTGCTGCAGGACGAGCGACGGGGCGAGCCATGCAATTCAATTTGCCCTTAAGTTGCCTTTCAATAATTTCTACAACACTAACAGCAACAAGGAGTCGTGTTAAAAATGGAAAAACAATTTGCCAAATTTTACTGTTATTTTGCTTATTAATAAAAATGTAATATGAAAATTGCAATAAATATTTTGAAATATTTTCGAACTCATTTAACATTTCATGTAAAAATATTTTTGATTTTGACACACTTCAAGCAGGTGCAGGGTATCAACTGCTTCGTTGTGTTTTTTTTTTGTTTTGCTGTTTCGTTTTATCGCAAGCCACAAAGAAGAAAAAAAACACAATAATAACAACAATCACTGAAATTTTAACATTTTAAGTATATGTTCATCTCTCTCTCTCTCTCTCTCCCTCTCTCTTTCTGTGCGAAAATGAATACTGAAACGGACGAGAAGGCAATAAATTGCACAACTGATATATGAATATGAATGAAAATTGCAATGCAGTCGCAGTTGCAGTCGCAATTAGCTGCTCGCGAGGTGCGTTCGATAAGTTCGCTGCGCCTATATGTACATATATTTAAATATATATATTCACTTAAAAAAGTACTTTATGTGCTCAGACACAGCAGCCAGCACACTTACACCATACATCATCTCTCTGTCGCTCTCCCTCACATCTTGGCTTGGGCCCTTTCTCTGCGTCACTTTCTCTGCGCGTCTTGGACTGTCTTTTTGCCTGGGGCATGCCAACTGTTTGTATTTGGTAAAACGTTTTCTGCTTTTTATCCGTTGGCATTTTCAAGTAATTTTTCACGCATTTCTGTGGCTGCTTTGCGCCTCATTTTTCATCACGCGCATGTGTGTGTGTGTGTGTGTGTGTCTGTGTGTGTTAAGCTGCTTAAATGTTTTTGCCACTTCTTTTTGCAGCATTGTTTTGCTGTTGTTGTTGTCATCGTTTTTCTTTTGCTGTTGTTGCATTTACAACACTTAAATTGTAAATAATTCCGATTTGGTTGCCCAGGCTCCAGCTGAAACCTCAGTCCTTTGAGTCCGCGCCAGCCGGCTCTCCAGTGTGTAATGGCCAAAGCCACTTGCCTTTGTCAACAAATTTGCGTTTAAATGGCTCATGTGCCGCAAGCCGTCCGTCCGCTTGTCAGCCGGTTTGACAGTCGGTTTGTCGGCTCATCTCGGCTGTCTTGTTTGTTGACGCAGCCTTTGCAATTCGTTTTAATGTATTTTTAAATTATGTTTATTTTTTTAACGCATTAAGTGGGACACACTAGAGAGAGAGAGAGAGAGAGAGAGAGAGAGAGAGAGAGAAAGGGAGAGATAGACAGAGCGAAAAGTTCTCCGAGCTTCTTATTAACATACTAACATTATTCTTGGCATAAAGCTTCATTAAAGAGATTCGGCCCGCTGGCTTCGACAAATAAGTTAATGGGATTAACGCTCTCAGCCATTTGGCATGCCTCTTAGCATATTGCATACCAATAAGATTTTCAATACAGACTTTTTTTAATACTCGCAGCGCTTAAATCGTGACAGCTCTTTTCTTTATTGAATATTGCTTTTTTCACTCTCGCTCCAAAGTTTTTTTTATATATATGGAATACTGTATATTAGCTCTGACTTGGAGACAAATGTGATTGGCCGCCAAATATTGGTGCTCGCGTCGCTTTAGCCCATAGCCCGAAAGCTTTGCTTATGGTTAATGAATATTTCTCTATTCATAAAGATCGAAGCTAGAAGCTTGTTGCCCCAGTTGAAAGCAGCTGGCTCCACTCTTCGGATTACATCCGTTTGCAGCTGTTGAGTTTTTCTTTTTATTATTATTGAATTCATTATGCAACGGTCGAATGAACGGCGTCCGATTGACAGCCAATTCAATGCTGTGATATAAAATCAATGTCACAATCGGATTGCTGGGCAGTTGCATAAATGAAGCTGTTCGCTGTTATGCACTGGGCCCATTGTTGGGCCCTTGAGCGATCCGTTGATTGTCGATTGTCGATTGTTGTCGGATTTTCGGTGCAAGGCGCCATTTACATACAAAAGTACATAATTAATGTAATGTGCCGTTTCAGGAACGGGTTTCGCTATCGCAGGTAATCGCACGAAAGTGAAATCGCTAGAAGACACGACGTGTATGTGCATAGAAGAAAGGTGATATGGCTAATCCGTCGCGCATCATCATCGGGCCGGGCCCAGCGGCAATTAAGGCTATGGGCGGCAAGCGTGGCTGAGTGGAGAGTTTAGCAGCTGCTGTCGAGGATGTTGCGGATGTTGTGGATGACGGGGCAAAATATGGAAAACAGTTGAAGTTGACCATGAAAATGCTCAAAGCCAAATTGCCCGAAGTCAATGCAGACATACGTTTGTATTTGCATATTCATAAGCACAGTTTCATCCACATAAACACACAGATACAAGAGCATACGGAGCGACGATGCCAGAGCAGTCGATGCTGTTAATGTGTGCCGTTGGCGAAATGTTAATTAAGCCAACTGGAAACCCAGTTGAAGTCGAGCGAGTGAGCAATAGCAGCCGCTAATCAAGTTGGAGGTCAGCATTGGAGCACGCATGTTACGTAAGGATCGTCATCAGCAGAGACGAGAGCAAGAGCGAGAGCGTGAGAGCAAGCTGCAGAGACAGACGCAAAGAAAAGTGAAACCGGCTAAATTTCCAGTTTTTGTTAACTCTTTTTGCTACATATACATTGCTGTACACATAAATATAGCTATATATATATCTTTATATATATATATATATACCCGCGCGGCCTGCGTCGTAAAGCTGGAGCCCATGCATCCAGGACAGTTGACCTTGCGGGCCTTTCAGGTGACAAAGTCCAAAAACCAGTTGGAAAACCCATTTATGATAAGAGCAAAAGTCAATGAAATGCCAGCTATGTTACCTAATTCGCCGTCGAGCCAAAATTAAACAAGAAATACGAGTACGAGTACAACAGTGCCAGGAAGACAAAGACAAAGACACAGTCAAGACACAGTCAAACGCACACACAGAAATATCACATGCACAGAGGAAGACCAAGACCACTTCCAATTGGCAACGTCAACACTTTTTCTCCAATGCACAGAAACAAAAATTAAAAAAAAATTGTAAAAATACAAAATAGAAAACAACAAAAAAAAGAGCAAGAAAACAGCTATTAACATTTATAGCAAACACGAATGCGGAAGCGTGTTTATTTCTTGTGTCGTTTATGTGTCGCATGTTGCGTGTCATATCTGCCAGCGGCAGTCGCCTATTGTTATTTATAAGCTGGCTTTGTGGGCCAGCGAGAAGCGTACTACTTACCATGAACGCCGACAGCGATCAGCAGCGCTGCAATCAGACAATGCTGCAGCATCTTGAAGTCTCCACACCGAATGTACCGATACACTGATGACACTTGGCCAAATTGAGCTGTGAGAGAGACAGACCGAAGGAGAGAGACGTCCGCAACGCGCAAATGCAAACCGCCAACTGAACGCAGACAGCGCCAAAGAAATTGCAAGAAGCCAAGTTAAGTTCAAGTCTCGTTCAACGGGCTGCCGAGCGACGATCAACGATCAACGATCAGCGATCAACGTTAACTGAGACGCGGGCAGCGAGCAGCGGATGGGGTAACTGGGAGCTGGGCTCTTCGAGCTGCGCGCTGCCAGCTGCGGGCTTGACTTAACTTATTCTCAATTCACTTTCATTTCAACTGGTTCGACGATGACGGCCAAAAGAGTCGAACAGCCGGTTTGAGCCGCGGCGCATGCGCGCGCATTTCAATGAGCCGCAGGGCAGAGCCCTAATCGACCGGCTCTACAGATCAGATCATCTACATATACGAGTGCCCAAAATAGTTTTCCTTTGTTGTTCGATCGATAGTTGCTATTCCCAGGGCGTGTCTCGCTCGGCTACTCCCAGGCACTTGCCTCTTTCAAGTGCTGTGCACACGACCCGCATGGCAATAGAACGAGATTAAGTACATATTACAGTTAACACTCGAGAGTTCTACAACTGTATTTCGATACAGACCTCGCCTACTGCATACAAATCGATGCATCAAGCCCGAATGGTTACATTACCCAAAGAATTTATGCAGCCGATTGCATAATTTATGGAAACGTTGACTGAGTTTTGGAAGTTTCTAGCTTGAATGCATTCAGACTTATCTGAGTTGGCGATGAAGTAGTCTCAGACAATGTTTGAGCTGTTTCTCAAGAGCTTCAAATAGTAAGTAACATAATTTATAGGATAGAAGGCATCAGAAGTCAATGTGAATCTTCCAGAAAGCTGAAATTAAATATCATTTATCAAGTTGGCCATGTTTACAACTCATTTGGCCAACAAACTTTCCGTCTTTCCCATAAAAACAAGTCATAGTTGTCGCTGAACGACTCAGAGATACGCTGTACACTGCGCCTTTAACCGCTCTGATGATTTTTTAAAGTATTAAATATTTAAATATAATAAAGTAAGAAAGTGTATTTTTAATATCAATGAAACGAGCTTTATTAAATAGAAAATTGCATGACATTAGTGCCTAATTATGATTTTGGGCATGCGCGCATACAAGGTGAAATCTGGAATAACAATTCCTACAATCATAACAATCGAGATCTTCCTTCATGAAGACATATGAACGAATGACTTCCCAGTCCTTAGGACACAATAAACAAAACCTTGTGGAATATACTCAACATTATATTGATAGGAAGTTTCCATAATTTGCCTGGTTAACAAAAATTCATAATAAAATGTAAAATTTGATTCAATATAAAACAATTATCAATTTTAATGTATATATATATATATATATATATATATATATATATATTTATATATATTTCTAAATTTTAAAGTCTTTGACTTTGAATTCGCTGCATTCATGGAGACACATTCTGCATCCTCATACAGCAAATCTACACTTTATGGGCGCCTTCTTTCGCCTGTTACATACGCTGTCAATAAAACATGATACCCCTTGCCTGGCTTCAGTCTGTAGAAAAACCGCTTACAAAGTCATCAACCCAAGCTCTGCTATTAACATATATATTTCCGATTCTCGGATTCGATATCAGGAACCGCATGGCACTCATGATGACATCCGGCGTGGTTAATCAACAGTCAACTAGTCGTGGAACTGGTCAACAAAAATGCAGAAACTCAATTTTGATGGAGCTGAAACGCTTTCGATTTTCTTGGAAATGTCAATAGAACTCGAATTAATTTTGAAGTTGTTTTTTGCCCAGTCCATGTGTGTGTGTGTCGGTGTGTTTTTTTTTTGTTTTTTTTTGCAGCGATTCGGTGGGGTTTTATTTCAGTTGGCATTAATTGATGTTATCTTGTTTTAGTTCATTTCGCTGTATGCATGTTTAATATTTGTGATGTGTGCTCATTCACTTAAATTTAAAATACAAAATATGTGTACGTATGTATGTGTGTGTGTGTGCCGGTGTGTCTGTGGCTATGTACCAAACTCTATGCCAATCTGTATGTGAATACGAATGAAGTCTGCACGTTTATCAGTCGGCAACAAATTCTCTGCGGGCTTATTTCATTTATTATACTCGTATAAGTTGTTTACTGTTGTTGCTGCTGTTATTGTTGCTGTTGCTTTATTTGTCCTCCTCCATCAATATAATATATGTGTTTTGATTTTCAGTGAATAATCGCGACGTGTCTGTTTATTTTGGTGTTTGATATTTTTCTTCTATATTCTCGTGTTGTTTTTCGCATTTTTTTGAAAAGCATTTGAAATTTGAAATTGAACAGCAGTGGACGAGTCAGTTTGGCATGTTATTGTTTTAATATTTATTGGTAAGCCCGTGCGATCAATGAACCGAAACGTATAAGTTAAAACAACGCGAATATCAAATTCAATCAGAGACTCAACAGATGCATTAAATAAATGAATAAACGCGCAGACAGCAGTCATCATCAAATAGCCACTTTGATTGAGTCTAAAGCCTATATGGCTAAACAAAGCATATATATAAATTTATATAGGTAGAGGGAGATATAGCCATGTATATAAGCCCCAAATGCATATACTTGTTCAAACTAAATGAAAGTTTGACGCTTGCCAACTGTTTGAAAAATGAAAACCTCCACGGACTGTTTGTATAGTTGAGTATTTTATTTTTTAACCATATATATATATATATATATGTGTGTCTATATATCTTATTTAATTCTTTTTTTGGTTTACATGAATATTCATATATTTATTTGACTGCAGACAGACACAGCGCAGCACAGCAGAGCACAGCACAGCACGCATGCATATGCCGAGCACAAAATTTTTGGGCATTTAAACCAATAAATATGTAAATTTTTCATAAATTTAATTAAATTCACCACAAAAGCTGCGTCTTTATCATCCACAGCAGCAGCGACGCTGACTGCAGGGAAAGTTTTGGCCCCCACAAAAATAAAAAATACCAAAAAAAAGTGTAAAAAGAAAACTGGAGACAAAATAAATAAAATAAAAAAAAAAACAAAAAAACGAGAAGGAGAAGAAGCAGCAGCAGAGAAATAGTGCGCGAGTAGTTGGCAGAGAATGGGAAGTAAAGAACTTTTACTGCATGGCATAAAAGATCTATGAGCTTTGTAGAAAATCAAGAAAAAAGTAGAAGAAGAGAATGCGAAAAAAGCGAGAAAATGGAATGGAATAAAAGTTGAGAATTGTATGCAAATCTATCTATTGCACGACCAGATCTCGAGCCAGGTGCCAGCTGCTTGACTGACTTACTGACTTACTGACTCACTGACTGACTGACTGACTGGGTTAGTTGAATGAGTGTATGTATGTATGCAAGTGTAGGGGCGAGTGACTGGCGGGCGGTTTGTTTGCTTGGTTAACTCAAACTTGCAAAAGCTGGAGGATTCGCGGCCGATGATAAATGAAAATTTGTCAGAGAATTTAACGATTTGACTGACAAAGGCATTTCATAGTTTTGTTTATGTGAGCGTGGCAACAACAACAACAACAACAACAACAGCGACGGCAACCATAGTTGGCAACACAATATGGCATATCACAGGTTGGGGGCGGCATTTGTGATGGATGAGCGCACTTAAACAAAAAGAAATGAAATGACAAAGGCGAGCAAAACGCAAGTGAGCGGACATGGAAATTAAAAGCAGCTGAAAGGACATCGCATGTCCCTCTGCCAACTGCCAACTGGCAACTGGCGACTGGCGACTGGCGACTGGCAACTGGCAACTGACAACCAGGCAGACTACATTCACTCGACACTAGAATGGACATGGGGCATGGCCACGTGACTCTTTGAGCTGCTGCCACAACAGAATGAAAGAGGCTGCTGCTGCTGCGGCTGCCGCTGCTGTTGTTGTTGATGCTCACAGTAAGCACTCACAGTGGCTGGGACATTTTCAATTAACACTTATTCAATTTTCCAGTGATTTTGGCCTTTTGTCTGCAGCCACAGAGGACATATCCGATTAATAAGCCAGCGACAGCCAGCAAATCTGAGCTAAAGTTATGTCAGCCCATTAATGGCTACGCAGAGCCACATACCTAGCCGGAAGCAGTGCACGACGATTTGAATATAATTGCAAATTTCTATGGGATTTGCATGCGGAAGAAAAGACGTTCAATGAAAAAAACTTTTTAAAGTTTGCCCGCAAAATTATTGGAATTTTTAATCAGTCAGAAATAACTTTAGAATTACTTCTGCTCTGAATTGATCTAGAAAAAGCTGCTGCAAGTCGAGTCTGATGATTTGATATATGAAGTAAGCAGCGTCAGAGTATTAATATTTTATCTGTGGGCTGCTGTTTTCATATGGAAATAGATTTGTGGAAAAGTACTTTAAAAGCACAATATTTCTAATTGGTTTTGGCTCGCTGCAGGCTGGGCGGGCTGGGGCAGGAAATGCTGTTTTGATAGGCAGGTGATGGATGAGTTGTGATTAGCAGGATGCTGGGTAAACACACGAGCGGGCGTGCGGGTAAGCGGATAATGGTTAGCCGGGCTGGAATTGTGTTATAGAATGGGAATTAAAATAAAAGCAAGGCTCGCATTTTGGCATGCAAATCGAAATGAAATTGAAGCTGCGACGGGACCGGCGGATGCAACCAGCAAACAATATGCAACAAATAAAAATAAAACAGCAAGCAATAACAACAAGCATGGCTAAGAGAAAACAACAACAACAACAACAACAGCAACGACAACTAAACAAGAGCAACTCAAATTGCAATGCTGGCAGCGGATTTGAATGTTACGGGCGTAAATTCTGGCAAATCAGGCACATTAATTATGACGAATTTCGCGAGCGGTTGGGCAGCCATTGGTGCATTGGTGGCCAGTGGCCATGTTGCGTGTTGTAAAATTGAAATTGGATTGGAAATATTTGCGCGAAATTCCAATTTCAATTTTCAATTGACGCGGCGTACGACGCGACGGAGGTTAGGGGCCGCAAATGGAAGATTGCTTCGTTAGGGGGCGTGCTGGGGTTCGAACGGACGCTCG